GAGTGAGGGAAAGCTAGGGCGTGAGATCGATAGGCGGATTGGTGCTGCGTCTGCAGTGATGCGGGCGTTGTCCAGGTCTGTCGGGGTGAAGGGTGCTGAGCCAGAAGGCAAAGCTCTCGATTTACTGGTCAATCTGCGTTCCTACCCTCACATATGGTCATGAGCTTTGGGTATTGACTGAAAGAATGAGATCGCAGCTACAAGCAGTCAAAATGAGTTTTCACAGGGTGGCTGGGCTCTCCCTTATGCCCGGAACACACCAGATGCGGAAGCGTGACAAAGCGCCATGGAACAACAAGCACTTCTAATTGACGCCCTTGTTAACCTACACTCTCGGTCACATCAGCTGCGAAGCGCCACGAGGGCTCACGCCGTGCAGCGATCGTTTCTGCATGAGTTTTATTTTTTCGTGAGCTGCGTCAATTCTGGCAGGAAGTTGAACCAAAGCAGAAGAGGTAGGTCATTTATAAAAGAGAAGTTGAACTTTCAAGTCAACTAAAGTGCACGATTCTGCACTCTGATGTGGGAGGAGTCTCTCTCTCCCACATTCACCTACGGTCTCTCTCACTTTAGCTCTCTCACTCTCACTCTCTCTCTCTCTCTCTCTCTCTCTCTAGTTTCGTTGCGGCATTCGTGTCAGCCGACATGGTAGGGTCGGGGAGGGGGCGGGGCAGCGCTTGGGGAAACCGCTCTCTCTCTCAGTGTCACCTGAGTTGCCATTATTATTGGCTCTAGCAGCGCTGTGTGTGGAAAAATAAAACGGGGAAAATAACGTAAATGTGCAGCTCTGTCAGCTGTAGAATTGGGCTCGGCTCTGGATGGTACACCCCACCCCCTCCCCCGCGCTGGCTGTTGCCGCTGCCGTAACACTGGGGAAACCCCAGATGCAAAAAAAAAAAAAAAAAAGTTACACAACAGATCCTGGATCAGGCAAAACTGCTCAAAACTGCAGCGTTGACAGTTGTGATCTTGCTGTTTGAAATCGCAATTTCGGTCCAAAAACGATAGATCGTTCAGCCCTGCTCCTGGATGCCTCCCTGGTGAGGTTTTCTGGGCATGTCCAACCGGGACCTGCAGGACATGCTAGTGGGACTATGTCTCTTGGCTGGCTAGGGAACGCCTTAGGATTCCTCCAGAAGAGCTGGCCCAAATGGCTGGGGAGAGGGAGGTCTGGGCCTCTCGGCTGTTGCCCCCGCAACCCGACTCCGGATAAGCGGATGAAAATGGATCGATGGTCAGACACTTATACTTTAAACTAATTGTTTATCAGCTTGTTTTATTTTTTATAGTAATTGTTTATCAATGAAGAAATGGTACAATAAAATGACATAGTGCCCCATCAGGCATGAAATGATCCAGCGCCCCATCAGGTATGAATATCTGTCACACCCAGTGACCCACTCATTGGTTTCTGTTTATGCAGTGTTAAGACATTTTTTTCTTGGGCACATTTTTTCAATCACCTGCTGTAGCCAAGAGGCTGAGAGTCATTCAGAACCAGTACTTTCATCTGACTTTACTTAGAGGTGATGACGCCAAAGAGGAACTTTTGGAGAAACACACTGCTGATACTTTGAGTTGTTTTTAGTTCCTGCACATTGCACTCTCATCAAAAGCGATAGAAATTGAAGGCATCTGTTGAATCAAGGTCAGTCTGGGTGAAGTAGGCCTGAAAGCAGTGTAATAACATAAAATTGGATACTTTTGCAGAAGTGCCACTTTAGTTTTAAAGACTTAAAGTCAACAGAAGGGCTCTAATCAGTTATATTTTATGAAAGTAACTTTTTTTGCATTTATGCTATGCTAAAATCTTTGATGTCAGCTTCCCAAAGTACTGGATGGATAATTCGATCAGACTGGGGACTGAAGAAGAGTGAGGCAAGCACTCTTGTCACTCTGCATCGCTGCTTGGGATTGCCAGTTATATTTAAATTATGGAACAGGGTAGGCGGGGCAGGCATGAAAACGAAAAGAGAGTTCCCATCATCGTTTCCATTAGGTCACAGCACTGAATAACAACATATTCATATATCATTCATTTTACAGTCATAATTGGCAGTCATATTGTGAAAATGAAACGGCATTTCTACTAACGCATTTTAATTTTAAATATGGTGTACATAAGATCCAGTCAGGATATGTGCCAGAAGTAGATTTGACAGCATGTGAGGGTGAACAACAGGTCCAGAGAAGAGCCAACATTTCACATGTTGAGTCTGCAATAACTGAGTTTTAATTGTGAATAACCTTTGAAAAATGTACATTACTTGCAATTAATAACCATAGAAATGTCAAACAATGAAAACCAGAAACAGCAAAGTGTGTGAGAAACAACACTTGTGTCACTCACACAGTGAATTTATAAAATGAACCAGGAAAATGACAACTCAGATGCGTTTTATTGAAACCTCAACACAACCAGTAAAGAACTCAAACGTTTACTCCTTCATCAGTTACACTTGATGTCTGATGTTAATTCTCCATCCAGAATGCAAAAGTAAATTCTGATTTCACGTGAACTTGGTGTCTGAGGGTTCACACAGGTGAAGGAAACAAACAGGAAGATGACGTATGGTTGTAACCCGATGGCGTCAGTCCAACCAGTCAGACTGAGCGGAGGAATGCAGGCATGATTGATAATGGTAATCATGCTGCTCTTCTGCTCCCTCAGACCACAGACTTATTTACACCAGCTCATGTTATACGCAGAGCAGGCGGTCTGGTTTACAGCAACATGCTCGAAATGTCAACACACAGTTATGGAGCCAAACATACACAGGAGAAACACATTTAGTTGCACATTGTTATCCTACTTTAGTCAGTCTTAAAGGTTGAAACAAAGATTTGAGTGTACTGCTATGAGACTCTGATTGCACAAGTCACAGCAAAGACAGACAAATCCTCTAAGTGTTCCCCTCCACTGTGTTAGTGAGAGTCCAGGTTTCCAACAGGACACATCTCTACCATCATTAATAGGGCTGGGCATCAAGCATCAATTGGAACCAGGATCACCTCTTTTTTCCCAGAATTAGGGCTGCACGATATTAGGAAAACCTGCGATATTCGATAACAGTGCTTAATATTGTGATATCGATATTACTCGCGATAAATGAACAAATACTAAAGTATGCAGTGTTGATGTCGTCTGGCGTGTGACGGCTGCTCTGGGTTCAAAGCAAACAAAAACTAATGCATGAATTCCATTACAACATAACATTTTTATTGCAAAAATAAGCAGCTGCACCTGCTACTGAATTAGCAGCAAAACAACAAACTGCATGCATGCAGTTTCTCAGTGACTTTAAAACATCACCTCCACCATAAAACTTTTCCTGATGCTCCAAATATAGAAAAACATCCCTTACCAGGGTTTTTGAATAAATAAAAAATCAGAAATTAAGTTTAAATGTTAAATAATAGTTAACATCACTTAAATGCAACAGCAAATTCTCTCATTGCTACTGAGCATTTTCTCCACTTATGTGGTTATGATATAAGGCTGTTGCTGCTATTGGGAAGTGATCTGTGCTGGGCCAAACTAGGAGAACATTAAGATTTTCTGAGGGAAAGAGAAAAACAATTGTCTACCTTTCAGAAGAGGAACTGGCAAAAAAACTACATGGAAAATATGTGAAAACGTTTGTTTTTAACCCCAAATTGAACAAGTTTACCTAGATCTTAAAAAGCAGCTCAGATGATGAAACTGCAACTATGATTCTGATAACAAGCTAACAAATTGAACTAGCTCCTCTTAAGATAACCGGCTAGCAGAGCTTCTGAATGACAGTTTATGTGCAGCAGCAAATCAACTATCCTGATTAACAAGGTTATAAAAGCTCATAAATGAAAAATCACTTTGATGTGTGGGGGAACTTTTCCAGGCCCTCTTTAGCAGCTCAGGGTGGGACTGGGAGGAGAGTGCTGTAGCCTTTTAGCTGGAAGCTAACCGGAGCCTGGGGCTAACTAGCGACATGAAGGTGGGTTGGTTCACTGGCACATGTCGGAGTCAGCCCTGTAAAAATGATTAACGACACCGAGCGGACTCACGTTCACGTTTGAAAGCAGCGCTGAATCCAGAAACATCAGCACAAAGTGCATTCGTTGCTCTGAGCCAGCATGGCGAACAAGGGAACGGCGCCGCTAACTCTGTTCGGGTGTTGCTTTCCAAAAGGGTCTATGTAGGGGGCGGGCGTATTACGTGAACGGAAGCATCTGATTGGCCGCATATCAGAAGGACTACATTTGATTGGTCAAATAATACTTCTGCGTAAAAAACAGCTGGTTTACAAAAAGCTGATGTATGACACGGATGGAAATGTTTGAACCAAACATTTATCGCTGTTTTTGCCATGTTATGCGATGGGCCTATCGCACGTCCTGTTATCCCGATGACGATAATTTTTCGATATATTGTGCAGCCCTACCTGGAATCGATCAAACTTTTTTATTTTGATTCCCAGACTGCCGACCAGAAGAAGAATCCGTGAGCGATTTCCATCAAAGACAAAAAAAAAAAACATGATCCGCTAATTCTGATCAACACCTTTTAAGGCTGGTCACACCAACTGTCTGTTGCTGCTACCCTGAGAGCAGCATTGTGCACCATTCCCCTTGCCTCACACTGCGCAGATGCGCAGCAGCAAAAATGTAAACAAACGTGTCTGTCGCACTTATTGTGCATTCCAGTTGTCCTCGGAATTTCCGAGCAGGAAATGACTTAGCGGGCATCGTATAATCCGTGCATGTTCTGGCCACTAGGAGTCGATAGGGATAATAAATAAATATAATTAGCGATGCACTGATATGAAATCTCTGGGCCAATACCGTCATCCAATATTAATATCACTGTTATGGCCGATAACCGATATTTACCGATACCGATATACTGACATTTTATTAAAGCTGAATTTATGCTCCTAAAGGTGTCCGTCCTCTACAGTCCCCGTTATGTCACTAGGTTAAATTAAAGTTATATGTTTTTTTTTCTTTTTCATGCTCAGGTAACTGGACGGTGCTCATGGCCAGTTGCACCTCACGTGCCAAAGAAGGCAAAATTGCACGCTGCGTGGAGCTTCTGTTGTCAAGGAATGCTGATCCCAACATGGTGGACAGGTGAGGGGGACATTTACAAATGTGTTTTATGTCAAAATATTTATGTGTTTCTCAACACAGTGTATTAAGTTGTAATCTGTGTCTTGCAGGGCAGAAAAAAAGTTTAGACCTCAAGAGAATGAGGTGGAGAAAAAATTGGGCACAGGATCAAATTCCCTTTGATGGTCCTCTTTTTACTGCCATGTGGTAGCATTATGCACCACTGTACTATACCCTTGTTGTGTGTGTGCGCACGTGCATGCATTGTTTGGAATGTCCTGTTATGGCAAGTGTGTGCACAGTCTGGTACCAGACAGACAAACAAACAGACTTTAAAGCGTGGGCAGCAGTATTATACATCTCTCTCTCTCTCTCTCTCTTCTCACTCACTCACTCACTCTCTCTCTCTCTCTCTCTCTCTCTCTCTCTCTTCTCACTCACTCACTCACTCTCTCTCTCTCTCTCTCTCTCTCTCTCTCTCTCTCTCTCTCTCTCTCTCTCTCTCTCTCTCTGTTTAGTCCTAAAACACTGTTGTGCTGAAGGATGACAATAAAATATTTTTCCATGCCTCTACCCCACCAACAAGCACCTTGATTTCAGTCTTGGTGAAATGGCAGTTTCTAGACCTCTTGGTTGCCATGGTTACCAATCACCCATCTTATGTACATGCAGTATATTTAAAAAGTACTTTGCATTGCATTCATCGCAGAAAGTGTGTGTGTGGTAGGCGGGATATGATCCAGATACACCTGAATGCATATATACGGAGAGTGTGATCTGTAAAGCAGCTGTGCATATGCAGCGTTTTATAGGTTGGATAATTATTGTATGGCTGAGGATGTTTTTGAATTTCAGGAAAGAACCGCCCTCTCCATGCTTTCAAAAAAATGCGCGTGAGAGAGAACACCCAGTTATCCTTGTGCACGCTCTGTTTACAAGTAGCTAACAGCCTTGCAGCTAACTTCTAACTAGCAGTAATCTGAAATGAATTTCTCCCAATAGCATGTCGAACTTTAGCCAGCTTGCCAGACTCGTCCTCTGTTTAATTCTGCACAAATAAGGTGTCTGGTAACTCTCCCATTCAAATAACCCCACCCTCTGAGAATTCTAACTGAGCCAATCAGACTCATTCTCTGTGCAGAATTAAACAGAGAAAGAGTCTGGCAGGCCAGGCTACCGAACTTTAGCTTTCCTGTTGAGCAGAAAACCGGCGACAGAGGCGTCTGTGGGGAGCCCAGCCCTCCCTTTCAGCTCTTTCTTTGAAAAGAGTCTTCTAAAAAAATCCAGGTCTTATTTCTCACTTCACAGACCTTTCCTTAGTATCGTGGACTTCGAAGACAATCTTTCTTTTGCAACTCTCAGCCATTTTCAAAAGAACCCGGTGAGAACAGCGACTGAATGGATGAAGGTGTATCGCTCTACACATAAACAGAATATGTATGTGCAGGAAGTGAAAACTACCCAGCAACAAGCACGTATGACGACGGCCTTGCATGAGTGGTTCACTAGAATGATTGACAATTATGCCAATGGTTCAGATGATCCACCCGGAAGAAAAAGATCCTTTAATTGGTGTAAGTAGATATTTTTGCTGAGTTGAAGTAAGGTTTTAGTAGGACTCCATGCAAAGTTTTATGGATGAGGCCGCTGGTCTTTACAAATAATTATGGCCACAACTCTTTTCCTACCAACAAATTAGTAGAATCCACTGAGGCTGTAATACTGAGAGTGGGCAATTGTTCGTCATTTACAAATTGAGTTTAAATTAGCTGGTTTCTTTATATGAGCCCACTTGAGATAGCTGATTCACGGGATCTATTTATATTACAGCTTAATTAAATTCACCCTTTGCATTTGGACGTGATGGGAATTTTGACAGTTTTGCTTTTTCCAGCAATTGACTATTCCCCATGGAAGCCAGTGCAGCGTAACTCCTTTCTGTGAGGAAAGTTTGGAGCTTTGAACCACTTAAGGAATCCTGAGCTTCTCTATAATGACACGCTGCCTTGGAACAGTATTTTTCTGTGGTTAAACATGATGCACTGACATAAACACTTGATGCTGCCTACAGTCTCTCACTGGTGGTAAATTATCTCTTTTTGTATGTTTTATTGTTTACATTCAGTTGTAAAAGGTCTTCGAGTGCATTTTTTAATCATGTTATTAGAGATGACTCAGGAAGCGTGGGCTATCTGCTCTGGCACTGATGGAAAAAAAAAAAAAGGTTTTCTGCCAAAACCAGTATTTTAAAATTTGAATCATGTGTAACTAAATGAAACCAGATGGTTCTTCATACACTTTGAGAGTTACCATGTGTGGATTTTTGTCTTGTCTGTAAGCGTTGAAACGGCCCCCAGTGGCTGTCTTGTTTAGTTCTGTCGAATCCCCTGTTATTCTGTCACTGCCAGTGTTCTGTCACATGCAGGACTCCTGCCACCTGAAAACCTCTGATGATGAACACAGAGGTCTTGTACCATTTGGAAATTGATTAGTTCCTTTCCAGACAAAATATGTGAAGCAAGTTATAAGTCCAAATCTAAATGTAAAGCTGAACATGAGGCTCATGTATGAGAGACGACCCCCTCAGCCTCTTACGTCTGAAATTCAAAACCATTGATTAACACCGGCTGCTTGTCTCAGTTTTTGTATAAACAGGATTTCTGTTATTTTTCAAAGTTGAAAAATGTGGGCGCACGATGTGAGGTCCACTGCCTTCCTGAGTTTCTCTCCTTTATCAGTCTCCACCGGACTGCGGGCCATAGTGAGTGAAACATGCTAAACTTACAGGCTTCGTTGAGTGTTTGCAGTTTAGTGAATGGAGCCCTTCTGAAATGTTTCAATGGATATTTATTTTATACCATATTTAGTCAGATCTGCTTGATTAGTTAAACCTATACAGTTTCAATCTGTTAAAGGTCTCTTTCACAGAGAAATCGTTAAGAGTTGTTCTTTTTGAAATACGATTAATTACTCTGAGTTTCACTTACAGCGGGGCAAAAAAGTATTTAGTCAGCCACCAATTGTGCAAGTTCTCCTACTTAAAATGATGACAGAGGTCAGTAATTTACATCATACCTACACTTCAACTGTGAGAGACAGAATGTGAAAAAAAATCCATGAATTCACATGGCAGGATTTTTAAAGAATTTATTAGTAAATCAGGGTGGAAAATAAGTATTTGGTCACTTCAAACAAGGAAAATCTCTGGCTCTCACAGAACTGTAACGTCTTCTTTAAGAAGCTTTTCTGTCCTCCAGTCGTTACCTGTATTACAGGCACCGGTTTGAACTCATTATCTGTATAAAAGACACCTGTCCACAGCCTCAAACAGTCAGACTCCAAACTCCACTATGGCCAAGACCAAAGAGCTTTTGAAGGACACCAGGAAAAGAATTGTAGACCTGCACCAGACTGGGAAGAGTGAATCTACAATAGGCAAGCAGCTTGGTGTGAAAAAATCAACTGTGGGAGCAATTATCAGAAAATGGAAGACATACAAGACCACTGATAATCTCCCTCGATCTGGGGCTCCACGCAAGATCTCATCCCGTGGGGTCAAAATGATCATGAGAACGGTGAGCAAGAATCCCAGAACCACACGGGGGTACCTGGTGAATGACCTGCAGAGAGCTGGGACCACAGTAACAAAGGTCACCATCAGTAACACACTACAACGGCAGGGAATCAAATCCTGCAGTGCCAGACGTGTTCCGCTGCTGAAGCCAGTGCATGTCCAGGCCCATCTGAAATTTGCCAGAGAGCACATGGATGATACAGCAGAGGATTGGGAGAATGTCATGAGGTCAGATGAAACCAAAGTAGAACTTTTTGGTATAAACTCAACTCGTCGTGTTTGGAGGAAGAATAATACTGAGTTTCATCCCAAGAACACCATACCTACTGTGAAGCATGGGGGTGGGAACATCATGCTTTGGGGCTGTTTTTCTGCTAAGGGGACAGGACGACTGATCCGTGTTGAGGACAGAATGAATGGGGCCATGTATCGTGAGATTCTGAGCCAAAACCTCCTTCCATCAGTGAGAGCTTTGAAGATGAAACGTGGCTGGGTCTTCCAACACGACAATGATCCCAAACACACTGCCCGGGCAACAAAGGAGTGGCTTTGTAAGAAGCATTTGAAAGTCCTGGAGTGGCCTAGCCAGTCTCCAGACCTCAACCCCATAGAAAATCTGTGGAGGGAGTTGAAAGTCCGTGTTGCTCGGCGACAGCCCCAAAACATCACTGCTCTCTAGAAGATCTGCATGGAGGAATGGGCCAAAATACCAGCTACTGTGTGTGCAAACCTGGTAACAACCTATAGTAATCGTTTGACCTCTGTTATTGCCAACAAAGGTTATGTTACAAAGTATTGAGTTGAATTTTTGTTATTGACCAAATACTTATTTTCCACCCTGATTTACAAATAAATTCTTTAAAAATCCTACCATGTGAATTCATGGATTTTTTCAAATTCTGTCTCTCACAGTTGAAGTGTACCTATGATGTAAATTACTGACCTCTGTCATCATTTTAAGTGGGAGAACTTGCACAATCGGTGGCTGACTAAATACTTTTTTGCCCCACTGTACATGCTGAACATGATCATTTCCTTCAACCCTGGTCACCTACATAAGCTTCTGAAAGGAAATAGACAGAAGAACGATTGGGTCAGAAACCGCCAGTCTCTTCTACAATAGAGATAAATGGCATTCATGGCTCCACCCATTAGGGTTGGGCGCTTGGAGGAATTGTTTGACCATCAACGATAGGCTGAGCTGTTCAATGTTGATTTTTACAAAAGACTACTTGTTTATTCATTTATTTGTTTTCTCGTAAGTTTAATGACTTGCAGAGGTAACATAATCAATCAAGAAGAAATTCCTAACAGAGCATCTGAGCATTATCTCACACATTCTCTGCTTTGAGCTTGCAGCGTGCCTGTGGTAGACCTGTGCACATGAGCGCACTGTCGAGTGCTTTCATATTTGGAAAGGGAAAACCCTTCTTTTAGAGAGCCCGAT